ACAACATTATGCGTATCACGTCCTCTTAATAGGCCAGTCATTGCACAAGCTTAAAGCATCTTATATCATATTTAATATAGAAATAAATTATAATCTCAAATTAATCAGTATTCAGTACATTATATAATAATCTATATTGTTGATGTTATGCAATTATATTATCATAAATATCTAATTTACCATAGCTTATAATCAATATATAACTTATTTAGTAGCTATTAATTATTTGTATTTAGTAATGAAAATAAATTTGAGATAATTTTTTTTTTAATCGAAGACTGGTTGATGATTATTGATCAAAGGCCTTTCGAATTTATTACTACAGTATATATAGTTATAGCAAAGGTTTTGACGTTATACGGGTTATTTTCTTATTTTTGGTATATTTTTATTTTGTTTTTAGAATATACGTATATATCTAAATTAATTAAAACAATACATTTTAATGTGCTAATAAAATAGGTATACCTATCATTCTAGTAGAAAACAGAATAAGTTTCTGTTCATCTTTGCAGTGATGATTTATAATGTTGTAAAACATATCATAATAATAATATATAATGCTGTAAAATGGCACGTGCTCCGTGGAGGTACTGCACCGCCATCACCACACCCTTAATCCACACCTACGTATAACTAAACACGATTCCTTAAGAGTACGTAACAGTGGTATTTGTTGTCTCCGTCTTACCAGTTCGTAATATAACAAATTTACGCTCAGCAGAACACTTGTAGCTCCTTTAGTTTAAAAATWACAGTAAATCGACCTATTATAAAACTTGATAGTAAGAACATTATCTGTGTTCGTACGTTGGTTTTTTACGATAATTCAATTTTTAAGTGAGTTATGAGCATWTTWWATRYRSTRYAWWAWAWATGCYYATAACTCACTTAAAAATTGAATTATCGTAAAAAAAACAGATAATTATAAATATTCTAACCATCAAGTTTCTTAATAGGTCGATTCACTGTAATTTTTAAACTAAAGGAGCTACAAGTGTTCTGCTGAGCGTAAATTTGCTTTATTACGCACTGGTAARACGGAGACAACAAATACCAATGTTACGTACTCATAAGGCGAATAAAATAATGAATGAAAGTGGGAAAATTGTTACTTTGAAAGACTTATCAAATATTCATACTACAGGCAGTAAGAAAAAAATATAATTTAATTTAGTGTTGTCTTCTGAATTTAATATTTCTATAACTATTTTATTTTTTAAAGGAATAAATTATTCGAATAATAATTTAGTGGAGGTTGTGAATAAATTAAAGACTAAATTTAATTGTATTGTTGAAATATCAATAGATGAGGCAAATAACCTCAATTGTATTTTTATACAGGACAGATTCATGACTAAATCGTTTGAAGCATTTCCTGAAGTAATATTTTAATATTTTATTACAATTCTAATTTTTAAAACACTACAAAATTATATAATATCCAGTATATACTAATAATTTCCCAATGTTTCTAAAGGTAGTTTTTGCAGATACTACATACAAATTGCTCRACTTAAGACTGCCAGTATATGTATTGATGACGGAGGATGGAAACAGACAGTGTGAAATAGCAGCAATTGGCTTATTAGTAAATTAGGAAGAAGTAACCTTGCACTGGTTTTTTGAAACTTAAAAAAAAAAACTCAATTTCAGCTAAAACTCAGGTATATATAACAGACAAGAACATGAAAGAAAGAAATGTTATCAAGCAAGTCTTTCCTAATGTCGCACTCACAAATCACAATATGTTTATTCCATACACTAAAAACATTTAATCAGGAAATTACTACCTGTGATAAGCGAAATATCACTCCCAATGAAAGGGATAAGATAAAAGAAGTAATTCAAAACATTGTTTGTTGTAAGTCTTACTGACTTCAGAAATGGAATATGACAATTTATACCAATACTTGAAAACTGTAGCACCAGAGACAGTCATGGAATATTATATTTATGATTTATTATTTTTTATAATTATTATTATAAGACTATCGATATTCGAATAGCCGATTACTTACTGTGATTTATTATTATATTATAATTATTAATTATATCTGTATAGTGTATGTATTAACTAATAACTATTTACTATAATTATTTTATAATGAAAAGCAAATTTAAAAAAAAAAAAAAAACTAATAACTTACTATAACTAAATTATGTGATAATGTATAATGTAATACTATTATCTATTCTGTGCTATTATATTACTTATACAGCAGCTGTAGTTGTATTACACTATTGTCTATTATAGTATTATTATTTATTACTACTATTATTCGTATTATCATATTTTCATATTTACAGTGTGATCCGGTACTTAATAATATATCCGGGCGCCAGGTGCTCTAGATACAGCATATATTAAGACAGAGTAATCAAAAAGTTGACTTATTTTAATTTTTGGAGAAGATTAAATTAATCCTGTTTTCAAAATTCATATTGCTTCATTAYATCAATTGATATGTTGGAAATAGCACACATCTATAATCCTATGTTGTACATAATATGTTAGACAAAAACAGAAAATCACCACTTCCAATCCCCTTAAGACAAAAAATTAGAATTTTATTTTATTTATTTATTTCAAAATAAATTTGATTAGTTTCTCATTTTTTCTTCACTTTTGCAGTTTTAAAAGATTATATTGTACTATTTAAGATTATATTAAATTATATTACATACCTAACAAAAAAATTTGATTATAAATTATATATTATAATTTAAGCATTATAAATAGTTACATTTGAAATTTTTAAATTTAAAATTTGCTACTCAAAAAAAATATTTATACTCTAAATTCCCCCCACTCTCCTCAAAAAATCTTTTTCTGCCTACAGTCTTGTGAGTACTTACAGTTGGTACATTTCTAAAACTGTACAAAATACAAATAAAAATAAAAATTTATATTTTATACATATTGAATGTTTTATAATATGTATTATATATATGAATTAATTTAAAAAAATTATAAAACTATGAATTCATTCATTTTGTTTTGTATATATATATATATATAATATATCAATTTGGAAATTAACATATGATAACATTAAATGATCCAAAATGTTCGTCATAGTGAATAATATCAAATAAATTATAAATAATGAATTATTCCTTTTCTATACAAAAAAAAAATKTATTTATCTGGATAAGAGTGACAAATTTATTTTTATTGCATACTATATCAATAACAACAAACTTATTTTTGGTAATGTATAAGGTTCAGTTGATTTTCACTTAAAAAACAAAACATACGGAAACATTTGTTACACCTTATATATATATATAAATTATACCTACACTTAACACACTATATGATAGACTAATACATAATAATATACACACTCAACACTTTTCTACCCATGCACATAATTACTTATTATCAAAATGACAAACAGCAGTTAGTTCGACAGTCACCATCAACAGGAGTGAACTCACTAATACGCTTATTAGCTAATAACTAGCCATCTACATTAGTTAAAGTATTATTTTTATATAATAATTCATATGGATCTATAAATCAAATTTGTCTTATTATTGATAAAATACCTCATACACAGTGATCTAACATCTAACCCCCAGCTACGGAAAACTTATCCATAAGGAATATAAAACCTTCCCTGGATAACTAATATCGTAACAAGGTCCCCCGACCACRTTGCAATACAATATTTAAATCATAATGTATAATTGTATGTCCATTAGATTTAATTTAATTGCTGGTCCCATTCTCATGTGTGGATACTGGRTATTACAATAATTATTTTTGGTAAATAATTTTCTTAAGTATACAAAAGTATTGGTTATGTTTTAGACATAATATTTTTTCTCTATGTAATTGAATGAGAAATATAGTTCTCAATTCTCTAGGCTTACCTTCAAAGCACATTGCCTAAAATAGTGATAATTGGACAGATTACTTAATGATTAAAGAATAATGAACCATGAACTATATGTCCATATCATGATTCTTCAGCTTTAAATAAAATAAACTCAAAATATTTTAAGATCTAAAGTGTGGTAAGTACTGTGGTGTTCAGTAATTAGATCTTCAAGAAGTATTGAGTGTTCAAGTTTAATCCACTCCAATGAAATTATATTTAAAATTGCATCAAGTATTATTTATATTGACCTAACGTCTAAATTACGAGGTMGGAAATATTAAGCACCAATAATGACTCCTATAAGTTTTTAACAAAACATAGGTAACGTTTCACTATATGTCTATCATTTTTATTTTATTTCCTTTACCTTAAAAAGTTAATTATGTTGATGAGCAATAAACATATAGTTTTAGTAACTATTGATCCATAATCTAATAATATTCTGTTATATCGTCTATTTTATCAATTGCAAAACATTTTATTATTTTTAACATTGAAAATATAACACAATATACCATAAGCCCCCTAAAAACCCTATGAATTTTTCATCAAAACGACCTTATCGATTGACAAAAATTAACATACTTCTATAGTTCGATTTAAAAAGTGTAAAGATGTTTGAATTGGTAAACAAGTYTGCTTTGCATCGATCGGAGCAYATATTTTATTTTTATTTTTATTTTTTTTGCAAGAAATAAACAATCTGTATCATAAATTATACTAGACACAATAGGATTATATGATAAAAGTTAACAGGTCATGAAATTTTGTTGAAAGGAGCCACCCATTGATGACACTTTCTTTTAGCTTGAATAGTTTACTTTAATAACATAAGTTAATTATTTTATAATTTTTTTTTTTTTGTAATTAATTTAATTTAAGAAATCACGGCACCACTTACGCTTCGGACGCCTAGGATGATTTACAGGTATCGTGGGAGTGGCCAAGTTTTTTACAAGTTGATTTGGATGATTATTTAGGCRGCAATGGAATCTTTTATAAAATATTTTTGCTTCCTCATTAATTGTTTTGAGTTTTAAGTCAGTGTGTAGAGTATGATTTGAAACATAGGGCGGAGCATTCATCAGTTTTCTAAGTGCAATATTTTGAAAGGTTTGGATTTTCTGAATATTTGTCTTTTTCGCATTGTCCCAAAGTTGAAGGCCGTAGGTCCATAGTGGTTTTAATAGAGTTTTGTATATAAGAAGCTTAGTTTTAGTGGATGTGTATTTATTATTGCATAGTAAAGGTTTAAGTAAGCGGAGTCGATGATTCAAAGCTARTCTTTTAGTTCTGATGTGATGAGCCCACGTTAATCTTTGATCAAGAATAAGGCCGAGGTATTTGATTTTTGGAGAGTAGGGAATCGGAATATTTTAATATTTTAATATTTTTCAATTTATTCAGTGTTACAAATTCAGAAATTTATAAAATGTAAAATATTTATTCTCGTCAAACATTTGCTAAAATTGAAAAAGTGTTCCGACCGATGCAAAATAAACTTGTTTACCAATTCAAACATCTTTATATTTTATAATAAGTACTTAATACCTATAATATAAACAATTATCAAACATTTTAAGAGACAAGAAATTAGTTAATTTCTCTCTCCTTGATCCAGTTACCAGGTTACGTATGTTAAATAAACTTTAAAACAAATCAAAATTGTAAGAAAAGAGAATAAATGTTATGTTTGTGAAGTTGGATCACCTAAGTTCTTCAATTTTTTATAAATCTATGCCATTATTCTTTTGCACCACCAAACTTTCACTTTGAAATTAAAAAAAAATAATTAAGTTTGGTCAATATCGTAGTCTAACCTGTAAATTACTTTATATTGTTGAATAACTTATATGGGGGGGGGGGCAAAGCCCCCCACGTTTTTATTTTGTAAACATGGGTGGTGGTCCGTATAACTTTTTACTTTCCCCCCTTTTAAAATATAGTTCGATGCCACTGACTGTATAATGGATGGAATTAAATTTTAATCCAATGATATATCATTGTACACGAAAAACGATTCTGAGCGGAGACAGTTTATCTGTCTACTAGGATATATTATAGATTATTAAAAATTTTCAAATTTTAGATTTAAAAAGAAAATTTTTTACGAATTTCTAGCTTAAAATAATTTGCGAATTTTCGTGATTTTTACGTATGTTGTCAAAATTAAAATTTGAATGCTTGTAAAAAAAAGTTGTGACTATGTATTTCTTTTATTTTTCAACTGCTATTGTAAAAATATTTTAGGAGCWTTGTATWWAATTTTCAAATCTTAGAYCTAAAAAGAAAAACTTTTATGAATTTCTATCTAAGATAATTTGAACATTGCCGTAAATTTTACGTATTTAGTCAAAATTTGAACTTTAAATGCTTATAAAAAAAAATCATGTCTATATATGTATTTTTAATATTTTTCAACTGTTATTGTTACAATGTGTTAGAAGTCTTGTATTCAATTTGGGGGGCATCTATCAACATCATCAACACTCAACCATAACTTAAACACTGCCACACTGGTGTACAGGAATATCGCTATGGATATTATGATTTAAGCGCGTTATGCTTAAAGCCTTAAACTAATTGGTTTTGATTTTTCCGCGGTAGTAGGTAGGTATATCATATATTTACGATATTTGATAATTTTTTGGTATTTCCAAAGAATATTACTGGAGATATAGGTAATATTATAATTAATGAGTATAAAATATCATTAAATCCTATTAATAACTAATAACTTGGTTCGTTTAAAACTGTCAAACTTTTAAGAGTTTATGAGATTTTAACATAGTTTTAGACTATTAAACGATATAAACGTAAACGGAATTGTGACTTTGTAGCTTCTGAATTTAATACTAAAATAAAAAAATCGCGGTTTTGAGAACAACTTTATATATTATATTAAATAGTATGTCTATACACAATACACAACACAATTGCCTATTACACATTTAATTTACATCACTATACTTATTTTTATAGTAATTTTAAATATTATTATCAGTAAACTATACTTAAACATTTTTTTATTTATTTCCAATATCAAATTAATTTAAACCAACAAACTTTTGGAAGTTAATTTAATTGAAATAAAATAAAAAAACATCGCAGAACACTAATGTAATTTTGATTTGTTTTATAATTGTATTATTATATAGTTATCCTAATTCAATAATTTTATATATATTTGTAGGATATTCAAAAATATATTGACGAAGCTGAGAACGGAGTAATTTATTTCTGCATGGGCAGTATGTTACGGGGTGAATCTTTTTCGGCCGAAAAAAGACAAATGTTCTTGAATGTCTTCGCTAAAATTCCACAACGAATTCTGTGGAAATGGGAAGGAGAACTACCCGGAAAACCGCCCAATGTAATGATTCGCAAATGGATGCCACAACGAGATATTTTAGGTACTACTAAATAAGTCTTTGCATTTAAAATATTTTTTATTTTTCAAATTTAATATGTAAATGTATATATTACGTTCTGCACCAAAATCAAATTTTAAATTTAGCTGGTGATTACTGTATTAAATCAAAATATTTTACCATGAATAGGTCTTAATTATTATTTTTATTTTTCACAGCTCATCCTAATGTTAAACTATTTATGTCTCATGGTGGCTTATTAGGAACCACCGAGGCTGTGTATGAAGGTGTTCCAATTTTGTCAATACCAATGTTTGGTGATCAATTGTCGAATATCAAAACTGTTGTAAGCAGAGGAGCTGCAGAAATGATGAATTATGAAGATTTGAATGAAGATGAAATTTATGTAAAAATAACATCGATGCTCACAAATCCTATGTAAGTGTATGGTATAGTTATTAATTTATCATATTTAATATCGTGGTCTGTTTGTTGTCAAATTGTTATATTAGCATAATGTTATATTTATGACGATGGGAGGGGGAGGATTCGCATGCATTATGCGTTTTATATAAATATATCATGTATATGATGTTTTCTTATTTGTTTAATATAGATACAGACAAAAGGCTAAAAAGTTATCAGAAGCTTTTCGTGATAGACCTATGTCTGCCTTAGAAACTGCAGTTTTTTGGACCGAGTATGTCATCCGACACAAAGGGGCGCCGCTGCTTCGATTTGCTACAGTCGGTACACCATGGTATCAATACTATTTAATCGATGTATTAGTTGTAATTTTCTTATTTGTTACAACAATTTTTTTATTGTTATACTGTTCAATTTTCAAATTTCTTTTAAGATTGTTGATTAGAAAACCGAAAGAGAAACAATCTTAATATAATAATGATGCTTATTTTAAATAAAAATACTGAAATAATGATTACTACTACTTTATAATAAATGTGAGTTATACGGTACTAGGGTGGTCGTCCTTATTTTTGAACTTCCAAATTATTGATATCATATCCCGTCGTTTTGTTTAAAACCATAAGAAATTAATTTGGGTAAAAAAATATTCCATGTATAGGTTAATGTAATTAGGAATTATTATGAACGTTTAATCAATATGCCTATAAATTTATTTTAGTTTGTTGTTGGTTACCTACATTATAGGTACTTACTACTGTCTTATACATAATATCTATATAATAGATTGATAGATGTATAATAGATTTAACTGTAATCGTATATCACCTATAAAATGTGTTATATTGGGTTCATGTGTTCATCCCTTTAAATAAAAATATAAATACCAAAATTTTTAAGGCTTCAATAATACAAGGTTACAAGTTAGCCTACGGTAGTTTACGTGACATTGTCTTGTGATTACAATGATGAGTTATGGGTATTTTTAATTTTACATATTGATGTATAATTCTAGTTTACATATTAATAGCTGTAATATAAAAATATGGTATTGATTACATATTTTATTCAAATTCTACCTAAATTTTAGAATTTTTTAGTAGATTWTAAAGGCCATATTTTCAAATGTTTRCTTTTTTTGTGGTATTTAAATTAAAGAGTATCCTGTGGCCATCCACACTTCTATTTTTCAAATGAGAACCCTTTCTTTTTTACTGTAAATAATTGAACGGATAAATATTTCAAGAATTTTGATGAATCTAAATCTAAATTCAAGCTATAGTAGTTTTTGACTAATATTTAAGTTATTACTATATGTTTTAAGAGGACTCTACAGACATATTTGCTGTCTCCATCTTATTACTAGTGCGTAACATGGCAAATTTACGCTTAACAGATCACTTTTAATTTCTTAGTAAATTAGAGTAAATTTACCTATAATGAAATTTGATGATATAAGAAGAACATTATCTGTGTTTGTACTTGGGTTTTTTACAATAACTAAATAAAGGTAAATTATAATTATATATATCGTTGTACGTTTTCCATCAATATTTTTATTGTTTTAGTTATATTATAAAGTTAACATTATTAGTTTCATCATTTTATATTATTATCTATCATTAATCACCTTATTATCATTTTGTGTACCTATATACTACTATTCATTCATATTTGCCGACATTATGTTTATATATTTTATTGTCACGTACTATATGCATATCCCGTATTCACATTAATTGTTGAGCTATAATAGTTTATACTAAAAGCTAAAAAAAAAAATTTAAGTTCAAATTTTGATAAAATGTATTTAATGAAAATGTACAAATCCTTTAGTTGTTGAAAATGTATAATACGTTTAAATTGTATAGCTAAAGATTGAAAATTAAAACAAGATTACCCGTAAGTAGYTAATTCTGCTCTAAAAAAAATCTATAAATTTTACAARCACAGTTTTTTTTATAGTTAATTTAAGTTTAAATTCGGATGAAATTACTTCTTAAATAATCAAGAATAACAATTTTAGTTAAATTGTTGTAATTAAAAAACATTATTCGTGGATACTTAAATTTCTAGAGTATACTTTATATACTAGTATTAATAATTAATGTCGTTAATGACTTATATTAATACTTAATAATAAATTGTATATATACCCACTACGAATGACTGAATGAGTTGGGTACATAATGAATCTGATTTGATTAATTTGGAATTTATTTTATAGGTATCTACATTTTTAGATTCTGAGCGGAGCAATGAATGTATTGATTTTACCGTGATGTTTTTTTTTTTTGTGTCTGTCATCACATTTTTGGTTTTTGATATAACTTTAAAACAAATGACCATAGATACATGAAATTTTCACCGAATGTTTATATAAGTATATTCTATCTACCATGCAATTTTCAAAAATGTTCGACAAGTTGAACTATTCATAGGTATTTGCAATTTTCGATCATTATTAGTTTTTTTWAAATTAATATCGATAAAAATTTATTTGTTAGGCAGAAAAGTTTGAAAATTTAATACAAGGCTCCTAACATATTTTTACAATAGCAGTTAAAAAAATAAAATAAATTCAAAGCCACAATTTTTTTTTATTAGCATTCAAAGTTTGAATTTTGACAAAATACGTAAAAATCACGAAAATTATCTTAATTAGAAATTCATAAAAGTTTTTCTTTTTAGATTTAAGATTTGAAAATTAAATACAAAGCTCCTAACATATTTTTACAATAGCAGGTGAAAAATAAAAGATATATATAGGCACAATTTATTTTTACAAGCGTTCAAATTTTGAATTTTGACAACATACGTAAAAATCACGTAAATTCGTAAATTTTATTATCTAGAAATTCATAAAAAATTTTCCTTTATATCTAAAATTTGAAAATTTAATACAAGGCACCTAAAATATTWTTACAATAGCAGTTGAAAAATAAAAGAAATATATAGTCACACATTTTTTTTATATAAGTATTCAAAGTTTGAATTTTGACAACATAAAAATGTTTCTTTTTAAATCTGTGATTTGAACATTTTTTATAATCTATAATATATCCTAGACAGACAAACCGTTTCCGCTCAGAATCGTTTTTCGTATACAATGATATAATATCATTGGATTCAAATTTAATTCCATCCATTAMAGTAACACACTTGTAACCTACTGTACAGCAGAGCGACATCCACTTTCCGGTTTTTTTTTTAAACATGATTGTACAATTGATGTGTTTTAAAAAATCCAATAAATCTGAGTTATTTTTAGGATTGGGACCGAGTACAGAGTCCAGATTGTATGATATCCTGTGCTCAATTCGTTCTTGGTTGTACAATAAACAGTCGGCAATTATGTGTTTCACTATTAACATAGTTCGGCAGGTTTGAAAAATGGGAGGCCATCAGGAATCCACCTCTCTTGCCATCAGAAATCCGTGCGTGATTTTGGTGTGTCCCACGTGAAGTCTGTTGAGTACTGTATCTTCTTTTCGGTTAAGCTTTGGATTTACCCAACGATAGGTATCTCTTTTGATTTAATTTAATATTTTAGTTTGATATTTTGAGTATTCCATATGCATAACCATTTGTTTTCTGTATGCGTTCTTCATGCGTTTATGAGATTTTTTGTGTCGTCGTAAGACATTTGGTTTATCAAAACGGTTCCATTATCGTTAGCGGCTAATGAGGCTTCGTCGGCAGTTTCGTTTCTTATAGTATACACACGAATGTCTGGGAATCCACATGACGATGATACGTATAACCAAAAAGGAAGCTTTATTGAGCGTATTATTCCAATAAGAACCAATAATGTCCCCAGACCCCAGGATTGAAATGGTTTAGTATACTTTTTGTCTTTTAACCGTACTCAGTGAATCACTGAGGATCAAGAATTTAGTATGAGCTTCATGTATTATAATCTCGATTTCCGAGGGATAGCTAATGCTTCGGCTGTGAATATGGAGCAAATATTGGGTAATTTGCGTAATATATTTTTATTAGGGAAAATTATTGAGAATCCGACCACTTTTTGAGATTTTGATCCATCTGCAGTGTATACTAATATACTATACTTYCTTATTGATATTTGTTACCTATATTAAACTGTGTATGTATATTAAAATAATCATAATACATTATACCTAAATCTAATAATTAACGGTAATAGACGAAGTGCTSAGTATTATTTTACCACAGGCGTAAATATGGGACGTGATTTTGAAAAATCTGAATGACTACGGATTACAATTTTATTAAATCTGGATAGGCTATTTTTTATAGTATAATCACTTTTATCTATTGTTTCATTATGATCTATAATATAACATATAAACATACACAATCTCAGATCTATTATACATATCAAAAAATAATTGTTTTCAAAACGCTTTATAATTCGTACTAAACTGATTGTATAATGTTTGTTCCAAGCATAGCCAATCAGGATTTAGTGCTGAGCAATAGACTTAGCAATAGTATATAGGTACTATTAGTAATAGTAAGTTATTATTACGGGATAATAAGAAAGAAGATCATATATTAAGATTGAACTTATGAGGAAATAATAAAGGTATAATATTGGAGATCAATTTTTTTTTATATTTATGAAAATATTTAATATCCAATTATAATAAAAAATAAAAAGCGGGTAAGTAAGTAGATGTCGCTCTACTGTATAGTAGGTTACAAGTAGCCAAGTGGGTTACTGTAATGTATATGGTTAGGTTAAATTTGAATTTAATGATATAATATTATCATTGTGTACGAAAAACAATTCTGAGTGGAGATAGTTTGTCAATATAGGATATGTTATACTATTTTAATTTATTGTTTCAAAAAAAAAAAAGGCGGGTAAGTCGTGGATGTCGCTCTGCTGTACAGTAGGTTACTGTAATGGATGGAATTAAATTTGAAT